CCCCCCCCCCCCCCCCCCCCCCCCCCAAAAAAAAAGAAAAGGAAAAAGCCCAATTAGAAGATCCGAGTTTGCTTAACATATCTACAACAGGAACCAACATATGTATCTCGTAATTGGTCTGCTTCAGAACTCATAAACTAAAAGAAACCATTATGTGCATCTCCAGTGGTAATCTCGTTCACGGAGAAACTTTGGAGAGTTTTTAATTTGTTCTCCTTGCATGAAAAATATATTTACTGTGAAATGTTTTATCTATGAAACAAAATTAGACATACAACATGTTTGATAATTATTTATTTATTTTTTTTGAAAATTGTACTTGTTTTCTCCCAAATTCCTAAAAGAAACAAGTTTTTTAAAACTATGTTGAAGTTCTCAAAACTTAGCTCGACTTTTGAAAACACTATATGAAAGTAGGGAAAAAAAAAAAAAAACTCATGGATGAAGGTATACTATTTATAAGTTTAGTTTTAAAAAATCAAAGCTAAAATTAAATGGTTATGAAAGAGGGCGAAAAGTTTTCAACATAAGAGAAGGCCTGGATAAAACTTTAGCAATGCATTCATTATATTACAACTTACCTAAATATTGCCTTAACATCAGCCTCATGTAAGGTTCGAGATAAAACACGCTGAAGGTACCCAACTTCCTGGATAGCGATGATTTCAACCCATGTCAATTGGAAATGTGTATAGAAACAAGGCAAAAAATAGTACAATTAAAAGCAAAGAGCCTTCAATCAAACTTGTGAAATAACTTATGCTGTTTTGCACCAACTACATTCTCACATGCAAAGTGCAAAAAAGGACTTGGATATTGAAGAGAAAGAACTAATCCCTTAATTGACATGGACACAAGATAGGCATCTAAAGTAACTAGAGAAACAGGCTCTTGTCAAACTTAGATGTACTGGTTTGATTAGTGAATTCATGTACCTACCTTGGTAAGGGATCGAGCAAACTGACTGGGCTGAGGGTCAGCATCCTCGAGTCTATTCCAACTTTCAACAATTTGCGGCAGGCCACGTAGATGTACTAATAACCTTTCCCTCATTATCTGGACCAGCTTAGTATGAATTTCATCTCGGTGAACTTTGTAATCCTAAATGATTAAATAATTCAATAAATGGTGCAAATAAATAGCAGACAGTTCTTGTAAACTTAGCTTTTATTAAAGAAATGACATTAATACAGAATCTTGTAACAGAAAGCTGTCCGAAAATTCAAGAGTAATAATACAGGGGCTATAACAGGAATCTAAAAATAGTACCAGAATAATTCAAAAGTTATATAGTGAACATATGCATACATACACACACATATAAGTTTAATAGAAAATTTGGTCTTGAAGAAATTTAAAATTTTCTCTATGGCTATAAAAGTTAGAACTTTGTTCTCATGGTTTAATAAAACCTTTCATAAATAGTCACGGAGGATTTTAGCAATAAGGACCAAATTTGCAATCTAACCAATTTTTTTTTTATTATTATCCAAACACTAACAATTAGGAAAAAAAAAAATGAAGCTATTCTGCAACTTCGAACAACAATTTAAAAATAAATTAGTTTGATCTTAGAAAATAACCAATTTACCAATCATCCAAGATAGCTAATAAATATATAATTTTTTCCTTAAAACGTGTCCCAGACTCTTCACTTTGTCTCACCCCATGCACCCAAAAAGATTGAATTCTTGTTTTCGCTCCCTTTAGTAAGTAGCTGCTCAATCAAATTTCGATGTCAATTGCATATGAATCTTTTGGGGTTGGTTACAGTGTTATTAAGTCCCCCACCCCCACCCCCTAAAATCATACATCAAGTGAACCAGCACCTACTGGACTTCAATCTAATTCCCATTCTAAAACATCTTCGTAACATAGACATATTTTTTTGGGGAAAAAAGAAGACATGTTACAATATGTTACCAGTAAGCACACATGGCTAATCAGCATAATCAATATACAACAAGTATGGGAAAAAAAATATACTTGAGCCACTCGATCAATCTCTGAGAGCAATAGTGTCTTTCGTGCCTCTGGTACCTTGAGAAAAAGGATTCTTCTCATTTCTAGGTCAAGTCATGAAAAGAAGGAAAACACGTCAAACTACTTCAAAATATTGAGCACTATAATAGTTCCCAATCCCATATTCACTATAAAAGAATATAAACTCCAGTGGTAAATACATTATAAATAGAAAAGATTATATTTTGAAACACAATGTTTTCGTAAAGCATTTTGCAGCTTTTATGTACCATTTAATCTTCTCGGGAATATTTAACTATCATGCTTAATGTTTAAATTCAGTGAACGCACAACAAAAGGTATAGGCCAGGTGGCTACATCCAACATGCTTCTGAAGGTTCCAAACAAGTATCAAACAAACATGATTGAGGGTCAACATTTCCTTTTTCTTTTTGTTTCTTATCCAAAAAAAAGTGTCAACATTTTCAATCATTATACTTCTAAAAATTCTATTCTCGGAATTGTAAATAAAATATAATGAACAATAATGTTTTATGAGAAACATAAATATTGGATTAAATATTAAGAAAGCTAATCATAAGTAGCATTATTTGTTGAAATATAATGAAAATACGAAG